AAAAAATCAACCGGTCGACTAGGCGCTAGGTGCCCCTCAACCGCCCGATTAGCGCCTAACGAGTTTAAGAACAATGTGTAATACTTGAGATTTAATATAAACGGATTAATAGCACTACTCATACCAACAAGGTGCATCTCCTTTTAAGGGAGCTCATCAGCTAAGAACTCCAAAGTTAAGCGTGCTTGCACGAGAGTAGCCTTGGGATGGGTGACCCCCTGAGAAGTTTCTCAGGGCGCGCACGAGTGAGGACAAAGTGCACGGAAAAGGCTAGTAGCGGTTTGTGAGGACAGTACTAGAGGTCCCGAGTAACCACCTCGGGTCCTGCGGGGCCGGGGTGTTACACAATGAGTATACCTAATTAAAATAAATAAGTATGGAGAAATAATATTATAATAATGCTAAACTCACTTTATGTAATCATCAAGTTCTTCTCCACAGTTGTTAAGAATATCGCATTGCACCACGTTGCCATAGATTCCGAGATTTCCAAATTTAGGAGCCCCAAGTGTACCTATCCTATTGTTAGGAGCATTACCGGGAATGGACGTAGGAACATCTGCAAGCTGCCGTAAGATGTCAAGGTCGGGAAATTCACGAGGTGGTCCCCTTTTCTCCGGCTTTCCATCAAATTCTATACTCTTTCTCCAAGAATGTGCATTGCTTAAAAAGCATTGATGTCCTGTATAACATTGTTCCCCCCAAATTCGTTTCCATTTTGTATCCTCAAGAGTCAAGACACACTGGACATGTTAATCTCCCCATAGTACTCCATCCAAATAAGTAAGCATAAGCGGGAAAGTCATTAATTGTCCATATAACTGTTGCTCGGAGAGTAAAATAGGATTGAGAATACTCATCATATGCTTGAACCCCATCACTCCACAAAGTTTTAATCTCATCCATTAGTGGCCTTAGAAATACATCAAAATCCTTACCGGGTGACTTTGGACCAGGAATCAAGAATGCCAATAGATAGTTACTTGTATGCATCATACACCACGGTGGCATGTTATAAGGCATCAAAATTACTAGCCACATACTATGCGTCGTTGACATATTACTAAATGGATTGAACCCATCTGAAGCTAACCCCATTCTTATATTTCTTGAGTTTACAGCAAATTCTGGGTACAACTCATCAAAGTGCTTCTAAACTTTTCCATCGGCGGGATGAAGTAGAACTCCAGGTTCTTCCTTACACACTTCCTTTTTCCAGCGCATGTCTCTCTTAGTGTGACATGAAGCGTAAAGTCGTTTCAGACGAGGACTCATGGGGAAATATCTTTCCCTCTTATGTAGAATCTTATTCCGAACGTATCTACTATAATTACATATAGGACATGTGATGTCATATTTATGGTTACCATAGAACAAGACACAATCAAATTGGCAAACATCAATAAGCTCATAACCTAAACTAACGTCACAAAGTAACTTCCTAGCCTCATAATAGCTTTTTGGACAATTATTACTTTGTGGGAGAATCTCCTCGAGTAGCTTTAACAACATCTCAAAAGAACTATCTCTCCACTTACGCATGACCTTTATATTAATCAGCTTCACAATAAAAGTCAATGCCGAAGATTTATGGCATCCTTCAAACAATGGATTATCTGAAGCTTCACATAACTTCTCATAATGAGCCTCTTTTGCTACACGTGAATGATTTTCTGAAAAATCAGAAGCATCCCCTATATTAAAATTTGATTACCATCAAATTCATCATCTTCTGATTCTCCATTACCAACACCTTCACCATGAGACTGGTCTTCACCATGATACACCCAATGTACATATGATTGATCAATTCCTCTAGATATCAGATGAGATGTGATAACATCAATAGGATGACACCTTGAATTAAGACAGTCACGAGAAGGACATGGTGTCAATCCATTGCCATCTAGGTTCTGCTTGGCAACATTTATGAACTCCTTAATCCCAACCACATATGTTGGAGCGATTCGATTTTAGGTCTTCACCCACTAATGATTCATATTATACGAAACTATTACTAATAATGAAAAATCAGAAACACTGGTTCAAAGAGTCGATTTTATTAACAAGTCTTATATGTGCTTCAAAAATAAAGTATGAAAATAAGGGTTTTGAAAACTGACCTGTTGGAATTTGGATCGAAGGGAGCTCGGAATAGTTCCTCAGCCCTGCAATAGAAATATAACAATAATTTGAGTAAAAATTAGAAAATACTTGATGAAAATCAAACATCACGGGGATATACATTTTTAGTTCCATTCACTCCATTACTTTCTATGCATTAGTAATATCTTTGTATGTCTTTGATAAGTTCGTATTTCAACACGCATTTTATGCGTGCTGGGATCGGATTTTGATGGGTTTCCTAGCTTTAAGGTGTTGCGAGTCTCAATTTTAGCTCAAGTTGTGTTTACCAGGCGTTGGTTCGAGTTTTGTGTCGTTTGGAGTCAAAATCAGGAATTTAGAGTCCGACATCGGCGCTTGAGGAGCAACCAGGAAGAGTTAGAAAGCATCCGAGAGAGATTTGAGAGTTTTGGAGGTCACCGAGAGGTTCACAACGAAGTTTTGATGAAGAAAGGGCCTTTGGATCGACCATGGATACATCCGGGAGCGTTTGGAGCGAGAAACGGAGAGAAACCGTGAAGAAGAAGCTAGGCACGACCATGCCTGGCTGTAGGCACGACCGTGCGTGAGAAGAAAAGACACGAGGAGCCACTGTCATGTACGCACGATCGTGCGAGCCAGGGAAGGCATGATCGTGCGTACGTCTGAGATGCGCGATTTTTCCGTAAGCACGGAGGTAGGCACAATCGTGCCTACCTCCGGAAATCCTAGTTTAAGGCTGATTTTACCATGTTTCTATAAATAAGGCATTCATACTCCTTTTTTAGGGTTACGAATATTGCAGAGAGGCCTAGGGACAAATATTATCTGCGTTTTTCCATTGTTTACTCCAAGACCCTGAGATTATTTGTAAGATCAATCTTTTTAATTAATGACAATTAATTCTATTCATCCCAATGCTATTGATTCTTCAATTATGAATTGTGAGTAGTTTAATTAGGAATTTCGGGTTGATGGAGAGGTTAATCATGATGTATGACTAGTTTCTTGATGGACTAATTGCATGAATGTCGTTTAATTTATGTTATGAATAATTTAACTGATATCTTTTGTAACCTGGAACCGCGGCTAGAATTAGAGCTTGCAGAATAAATAATGAGAGATCTAGTTTATTCTAGGACACATTCACACACACTTAATCGTTCGCTAAGAGATTAGTAGCGATTAAAGGGTCGTAAGCTCGCTCGTCTTGGTAATAATTTAGGATCCTGTTGCATGAGAGATCAGTCTGGTCCCCTAAATTATTGTACTCTACACCGCGAGAGCGGTAAGAACTTAGTAATGATCAGCTAGACTCAATTAAATTAATTTCATGTAATTAGGCCTGATCTGCTAGAAATTTGGTTACCCCGGAATCAATCTCTGTTCCCTTCGTCGTTAATTGAGAACAAAACCAATCTTTTTATTTAATTGTTCATTCGCATTAGTTTAATTTCAATTCAACCAATCAATCTCGCGCATCGCATTTATTTTATTTATTTTCATCTCTGAATTTAGTTAATTCTTATTTCCCTTTTGTACGTCCCTGTGGAGACGATACTCGTACTTTTCACCACTATTCTACAATCCTTTTAAGTGTGAGAAAATTTACATCAGTCTTCTAATAAAATAGATTTTTAGTAATTGTTATATCCTAATACTGCATAAGTTTTTCAAAAAAATTATACTAAAACATAAAAATTTAAAAAATAAAATAAAATAATAAGTTATACTTGGTGAAATTTTTCAAGCCAGACATACTGTTATATCAACCACCTTTCTAATGATGAAACTAGCAAGTATTAATAAAAAAATCCAGGTCGAAGTCCTTCACTTTAAAATACCTTCAGAATATATGGCTGAGCCTAAACATGGACATAAATTCAAATTTGGGATGTTTAATGGGAAATTTATTAAATGCTTTAAGGGTGAGAAGATCACTACATCATGCATGTGAATCAAGCCTATTTTGAATAAGAATGAGATCAAACATTCACATCGTTTTGATCGAAGAATGCTTGTTTTTCACCGTCATCGTAAATTTTGTAAGTTTCAGATATTCAATAAGAGATGAATGATCTTGTCCAACCGGAGGGACATGATGCATCGTCCAGACGCCGTCGTTTGGGGCGGTTCAGGTAACTAATCATTGTACTGTTGGTCATGGTATGAGTCAGTTGGGCCTAACAAAGGTATAATAGCCCACATATCAATTTTAGTCTCATTTTTGGAAGTTTAAAAATAAATAAATAAAATAAAATAAAAAACCGTAACCTACGGCAACCCTAGCGCCGCAACAACGATTGATGGTGACATCGACACTCAGGGATTCTTGGTAGAGGTATGTTGCAATTGGATTGCTATTCTTTTCTGGTGGTGTTGATTTTGTTCAATGACGGTTCTTTCCTGGACACTGGTGCTCCGATGTGGCCTGTCTCTCTCGATGTGGGGAGTTTTGTTGGTGTCCCAACTAGCTTCGTCTAGTCAGAGGTCTATGTCTGCTTTCTTCTAGAGTGCGTAGACATTGGTAGAGCCCGTCCTCCTCCAGGACCACCTTCGTGCCATGAAGAGCTTCGTGAAAAAACTTTATTTCAATTTTATTTTTCCATTAGTAGTACTTGTTTTCATTTTAATTTCAATAGATTTGGTTTAAAAATTTGGACTTCTTGCATACGTTTGATAGACAGTAGTTCAGTCCCTATTGTTTTAGGCTTTGAATTGTCTGTTTCGTGTCTAGGGAATCAGATTGCTTTGTAAGAGATGACTGATTTTATGTCTATTCTTAGAGCTCACAATCGAATTTGTCATAGTTGTCTAGATGTTATCTTGTATCCTTGCTCAATTATAATATAAAAGCTGATCCTTTTTATTCAAAAAAATCCCATAATCTATTGTTCAATTAAAATGCTATAGAGGTAGTATAAAACTATAAGTAGGCAAATGAGCAAATGTATAGAAACAAGTCAAAATTGTGAGAGAAATTCAAAACCGGTCATTAGACTCGAATGGCTACCTGTGTCAATTAAGGTCGCGTTTGGATGATATGTTTTCATCTCTTAAAATTGGAAGCAATGTTTCACTGCGGTGTCGATGGTGCGAATTAGGAGCTGTTTGGTTTTGGAGACGTCGGATCCCTCCATTAAACGATCTGTGAGTTGACACTTTCCCACCATTGAGCTCTATCTTCTCTTTGCTTTAATGATTTTGTTTCCATAATTATCTTCTTTGATTTACCCAACCTTTCTTTCTATCCGTTTTTGAATTTTCCTACTCTTTCAAGTTGTTGGTATTGGTTTTCTAGGGTTCGAAACAATGTGGAGATCTAGGACTATGCATATTGATTGCTTGGATTTCTCGTGGGCTAATTTCAATGAGCGAAGTTGGCACTACCTTTTTTCTTGAAATATTTATTCTTTATTTTTCTTTTCTTCCGGTTGGGATCCGAATACTTTGCCTTGTAGCTGTATGTTTGACGTTTCACCGTGCATGGTGCTACTACTTGTCAATTTCATTTGTTTCCTAATGCCTGTCATTTTTTGCGGGTTCATTTTTCAGGTTTAGCAAAATACTGATTGTAGTACAGTTCTGTAGCAATCTAAGCCCTTTTTGCATAAATGGCAGACCCGAGCTCAGTAGATGTGATACTGGATTTTTTAAGAAGGAACAAGTTTACTAGGGCCGAAGCTGCATTGCAAAGTGAGCTGAGTAGTCGTCCAGACCTGATTGGAGTTCTACAGAAGCTTGCACTTGAGGATACTAATGGGTTCAACCCACCTTTGGAAGAGGCCAATGGGAATTGTAGGAGTACTGGTTCAATTGATAAGGATATAAGTTCAAGGAGCAGTAGAGATAACTTGAAGGAGCTTGATAAGGATATAAGTTCAAGGAGCAGTAGAGATAACTTGAAGGAGCTTATTGTCAACGGGCCAGACTACAAGCTGAAGAATGTCGTTTGTGCAGAGGAGCAAAGAAACGCTAATGAATCTATCTTGCAAAGTTCAATGGACGCTGCGAATGAATTGAACTTGAAAAAATACAATCCTACTAATAGTCCTTTCATTTTTCACCAGAGTGATGGGGAATGTATTGGGAACACATTTTCTGGGTTTCCAGTTTCTGGAAAGACAATGCCAAATCCAAGTGATGGGCATGAAAATAGTGGCAAGGCTGCTGAAAAGTCTGGGGGAGATGGGTACAGTTTCTCTAATGAGATCAGAACATGGCCCGGAAGTTCTAGTAAATCCACTCTGGAAACAAAACAGGAGAAAAGTCATTACAGTGAACTCAAGGAGGTTGATCAGTCACATAAGAAAGCCCGATCCAAAGATGCTTTTGGTGATAAACCTTGGAATGACTGCATGGTCAAAACCGTTTTCCCTTTCTTAAAGGAAGATGTATCGAATTATTGTGATCGTAGTACTGTGATGGGTGACAAGAAAGAAGGAAAAAGACAACCATGCATTAGTGATATCAAAACAGCTAACAGAGAACAATGTGATGATAATGAAAGAACTTCATACTTTGGGAGGTCACTGGGAAGTGAACCAAAGGATCTCACTTGTTTTGACTTTCCCCTTGCATCTGGGAATCAAAAGGAAGAGCTACCTAGGTTACCACCTGTTAGGCTCAAATCTGAAGAAAAGTCATTTAATATCCATTGGGAGGAAAAGTTTGAACGAGATGGAGTTGATTCAAGAATTGCAAATTCAGACAAGTCCTATCATATCGGGTCATTTCTGGATGTTCCTGTCGGACAAGAGACTAATCAGTCAGGAAAACGACCACCGGGTTTTAGTTGGCTCTCTGTGAGTCAGGGTATTGCTGAGGACACTTCTGATCTTGTTTCTGGTTTTGCAACCATAGGTGATGGAATTAATGATGCAGTTGACTATCCTAACGAATATTGGGACTCTGATGAGTATGACGATGAGGATGATGTGGGCTACACTAGACAACCTATTGAAGATGAGACATGGTTTTTGGCTCATGAAATTGATTACCCAAGTGATAATGAGAAGGGAACGGGGCATGGGAGTGCTCCAGATCCTCAAAGAAATAAAAACAGAGAAGATGATGAACAATCTTTTGTTGAGGAAGATTCCTACTTTTCAGGAGAGCGGTATATCCCATCAGAAAATGTTGATCGCGTTAGACCATCAGATGATCCAAGAGATCTGGCAGTTAATGAAATGTACAAAAGACCGAATGACTTTATTTCTCAATATGATGGACACTTGATGGATGATGATGAATTGAATTTTATCCGCTCAGAGCCTGTCTGGCAAGGGTTTGTCTCAAAGACAAACGACCTTGTCATGTTAGGGGATGGAAAAGTCCTTAATGAGCGTCGAAGGACTTATTTAGATGAACTGTGCATAGATGATGATCAACACGGGTCGGTTAGATCCATTGGTGTGGGAATAAGCAGTGATGTTGCTGATATTGGCAGTGAAGTGCGTGGAAGTTTGGTTGGAGGGAGTATGGATGGGGACATGGAGTATTTCCAAGATAATGATGTTGGTGGTATTGGTGGGTTAACCCGGCTTATACTTCATGACTCAGATAAGGTTTTCTGTAAAAAAATTGCTAATCACAGTTCTGACAAGTTTATAACAGGCGTAGACAGAAGAAAGAGTCACCCAGATGGTGGATTCTCATTCCCCCCTCCTAGAAATGGACAGTCTGTTCAGACCATCTCCAATAAATATTTGTTGTCAAAGGAAGGGAGCTCATTTATTGCTCCTGATGATATCAACGATTGTTTAGAAGAAAACGATCATATGCTTGTTCCATGGAGGCGCAAAAGTACTGATTCGTCGCCTGACGAGAGCTCAAAATGTGAAAATAATGTTGTTGGATCTGCAAATTCTAGCCCATCTTCTCTTTCAAATTATGGGTACGCTGAACGAGAATGTAGGAAGAAAGAACATGATACACAAATAATTGCAAGAGAAGAGGATCTGGGGATATCATTGGAGGATGAAGAAGCAGCTGCAGTGCAGGAGCAAGTGAGGCAGATAAAGGCACAAGAGGAAGAGTTTGAAACCTTTGATCTAAAAATTGTGCACAGGAAAAACAGGCATGCCATCTTTTTCTGAGTTTTCTTCTGATATTACATTTATTTTCATGTTCTGTCTGTGAGTGTGGAAGCTATGGGTGAAGAAAAATGGAGAGGAGGAAGTAGGAGGGAAAGGAAAACAGACAAGAAAATGTGTCCAGATGAGAGGAAAGGAGAAGAGAAGAGTCATTACATGAAAAATTTGGTAAAAATGTAAAATTTTATCCAAAAAGAGTACTAACCATTAGACGCATTTGACACAGCAGGTGTTGACAACTTTCTTCATTTGAGTGGCTGCTGCATTTGTTAATATTCCGTATCCCTTGCACTAGAATGCCTGATATGATTAGTTCATTTTCTTTTGCTAGTTTGATGAAATTGTAGATTATATTCAAAATGAAAATTATATAAATTAAACAAACATGTAGGAATTTCAGGATAAGTTGCATGATTAAGTTTTCAAAACTCAAAAGGGGAAGAAAAGAGTCATTACATGAAGATGGTGTACATGAGATCTATAGTCAATTTGGTAAAAATGTAAAATTATATCCAAAAAGAGTCCACTATCCTTTAGAGTTTAGACACGTTTGTCACAGCAGGCATTGACAACTTTCTTCACCTGAGTGGCTGCTACATTTGATAATATTTTGTATCCCTTGAACAGAAATGCCTGACGTGATTAGTTCATTTTCTTTTGCTAGTTTGATGAAATTGTGGAGTATATTCAAAATGAAAAGTATACGAAGTATAAATTAAATAAACATGAAGGAATTTCAGAATACATCGCATGATCAAGTTGTCAAAACTCAAAAGTTGCTCAAGCACTTTCGGGATTTAAGTTACACATAATCAATGGTTTTGCACTTTTGCCACTTGGTATTAGAGAAGGCTGTGACTAAAACTCTTGGTTCCCTTAGATCTTCGGCTATATGGACATTAAAGATCTGAAATGAATTCAATACATAACAATATCAACCACCATGGTGGGTGGTGGCTTTCTGTTGTGCCTTGTAGGAACATATTCATTGGTGTGTAATTAAAGGGAGTAGAAGCGTATACCATATTATTTGAGTTCAAATTTCTTTCTAAATTGCATATGTATGTAAGGAAAGTGTATTATACGAGATAGTTACACTGTTACATGATTTGAGATTGTGAGGCCTAAAGCTTAAATTCTGTCGATGTTATTTTGTTTTCTTACTGGTAAGTCGTAACTTCTATGGCTCATAATAAGATTACTTTGTACATAAACTGAGAAGTTGTAAATAATTACCCCTTTGTAACACATTCAGAGCCTTCTTGTAAAAATCGCTATAATATACATTTTCTGTATTATTTTGATGAATAGGAATACCAATGTTGAGCTTGTGCACACTAATAATCACCCATTTATTTGTAGGCATCTTTACAAGCGATGGATGTTGTCCTTCCCTCTTTCTCAGCTTTCGTGTGGGACTAAGTTAAGAATGATGTTTTATTTACTGATGTTTTTTTGTTCTGTTTTTTTGGTTCAGAACTGGGTTTGAGGAGGACAAAAATTTTCATGTTGTTCTAAACTCAGTGATAGCTGGGCGCTATCATGTAACAGAGTACCTGGGATCTGCTGCTTTCAGTAAAGCCATTCAAGCTCATGACCTTCATACTGGCATGGATGTTTGCGTGAAGATTATAAAGAACAACAAAGATTTCTTCGATCAGAGCCTTGACGAGATAAAGCTTCTCAAGTTTGTCAACAAGCATGACCCAGCTGATAAATACCATATTCTTCGGCTGTATGATTACTTCTATTATAGAGTAAGTGGAAAGCTTATGCATGCAATAGTTGCAAATGAAGTTTTATCTATGTATAGTTTTATTTGAGAGTGACTTTCCTTGTCTTACTTTCTCTCCTTTTCAATTTTCATGTGGGGTCTTTTTCTTTCAACCCCTTTGAATTACAATTATGTGCTTTCCTCTGCATCAGAAGTTTCGGCAATTGGGTTGCCGGTTAATATCATTATAATGTAGGATAGTATTCCCTTACCAACACTTTTCTCGGGCGTTTCATACAGCGCTTGCCTACTGTGGTTTACTTGGTTGGTGTGATTTGCAAACGATTAAGCTCAACCGCTCAGCTCTTGAAGAGTAGCAGTTGCAAGTTTCCCATCATGAAAAATAAAATAAAAATAATGTAGGACATTAGTGTATCACTTGACTTAAAGAGATATTTCTTGAATTAGTTCATCAATAAACCTCAAGTAACCTCATAGTCTATACGTAGATATGGAGTTGTGTTGGCGACAATCCGTATGTGAAGAACTTGAAAGAATTTCCTGATTTCTGCCATTCTATAGATATTAAATTTCGTATACAAGCGATTAAATGCTAAACTTGAAAGAGCTTTTCTGCTTTGCAAGTGACCCTATGAAGGCATATATTTATTCCATGAAGAGTGTATATAGTTTTGGCATAAGTAATCATGCCTTTTTTCGTTTAGCTTCTGCTGTCTTTTTTTCCCTTCTCCCATTTGGAAAAAGTATAGCTTATGATGTAATTATGGAAATAACATTGTTAACAATCCCTTTTTCTATGAAAGCATTTTGAGAGATTCCACCTGGCTCACAAAGCTCTCCTTAGTGCCATTTTCTTTTGTACAACTTGCATATTGATGTTAATGCTCAAAACGATGTTTTTAAATTTGGCTGCTTTATACATTTTCAGGAACATCTACTGATTGTATGTGAGCTACTGAAGGCAAATTTGTATGAATTTCATAAATTTAATAGAGAATCTGGAGGGGAAGTATACTTTACGATGCCGAGACTGCAGGTTTGTCCGGTAGAAGATTTTTATGGATGTTGTTAAATTTCTATTTCCTTGGGTACTAAAATTTTATGGTTTTTATGTGTAGTCAATCACGATTCAGTGTTTGGAGGCACTTCAATACTTGCATCGCCTGGGGCTTATACACTGTGATTTGAAACCTGAGAATATTTTGGTGAAAAGCTACAGTAGATGTGAAGTGAAAGTCATTGACCTTGGAAGCAGTTGCTTTGAAACAGATCATCTCTGTTCATATGTTCAATCTAGATCATACCGTGCACCTGAAGTAATTTTAGGACTTCCATATGACAAAAAGATTGATATCTGGTCCCTTGGCTGCATATTGGCAGAACTTTGTACTGGCAATGTAAGCTCCTTATGCCTCTATACTAGTTTTAGATATTTATTTTCTATGTACCTTTGGTTAAATAAGTATTCTATGTTCACAAGTATGATCTATTAATTTTTATTAGACATAACCTAACCTACATATGGTTTTAAATGTGCACTTGTCTTGCTTATATCACTTTATTTCCAATGACATCGTCTTGTTGATAGGCAATGGATTGATCGAAAAATGAGTTATTATGTGTAACTTATGAATAAACATGATTAGTTTATATGTAGCATTTGGTTTTTGGTAGACACATTGAATGATCGACTTTTTTAATGAACCTATTTGCTTCTTTGGGTACCCATAGATGCTCAACAATGTTTGTCCTTCTCTTCAGGTCCTTTTCCAGAACGAATCTCCTGCCACATTACTTGCTCGAGTTATTGGTATTATAGCTCCAATTGACCAAGAGATGCTTGCTAAAGGAAAAGATGCATTCAAATATTTTACCAAAAATCACATGCTTTATGAAAAAAATCAGGTTAGTTTCATATGACACTGATCTTTTTCTTTTCTTAAGATCTTTGTTTTATGATCAATTCCATATTACTACTATATAATGCTCTAAAAAGCACTAGACGCAAGGTGGGGCCTAACTGCCTAAGAGAGGTCATGCAAAGCATAGTTGAGATCAATTTGAAGGGGGAAATGTAGGCGGTTGTAAGTTGTAACTCTCTTTGTTCTCAAATAAATGTCCCTTCAGGCTAGTAAGCAATAAACTTTTCGTAAATCAAGATAAATATACTATTACTCCGGTATATGACTACATTCCTTTTATTTATATCAGTAAAGATATGTAAAATAGTACTCCCTCCGTATTTTTTTGTTTGCTACAATAGCACATTTTTAAAGAGTGAAATAGTAAGAGTAATGAATAGTGTAGAAAAAGTAGGAAAGATGGTGGAAAGTATGAAAGAGAAGATAAAAAGTGGAAAAAATAAGGGTAATTGAGTAGTATTAAAGGAAAAACTTACCAAAAATGGAAAGTGTAGCAAATTTTTCAATACATCCAAAAAAGGAAAGTGTATCAAACAAAAAAATACGGAGGGAGTATTAATTCTTTCTTGATATTTTAAAGCATCACATATTTGAGAACAAATCATTTTCTTTTCTTTTTCTTTTTTTTCATTTACCCCAGTGCCGCAAAAGGCTCCCACCTACGGTGGGGTAAGGAGGGGGGGTCGGATGTACGCAGTCTTACCCCTGTACTATAGCACAGAGAGACTGTTTCCGGATGACCCATAGTGAAAATCGCGTCCAAAATTGCATGGACTAACTGCTGTTTCATAACAAAGAAGAGCAGACAGTTTAGTGAGCCATTATGCTTTATTCCATCATAATCTCAAGCCAAAAAATAATGAATCTTTGGCTCCATTGCAAATGATGGAAATTGAGAACAAATCATTTTCTCTAGAGATAATTATTTAAGAATAGATATATTACGGAGTAGTTCTTAGTAATCTACTATCCATCTATTACAATGGTATTTGCAATCCAGCCATTACTACTACTGCATTCACATCCATTTGCCTGCATCTGTTATTATGTACTGAAATATTTAGTCATGGATAAATGTTTTTGATGAAATTTTTATGTATTATGAAAGAATTTATGCACAGACAGTTCATGGTGATGTGTGACGTGTGTGTGTGGGTTTACTATATTGCACCAAACAGTAATAGAGTGTACTTGTTTGTATTTAATTTTGGGCATTTTGTCTTCAGGAAACCGATCGACTTGAATACCTAATCCCCAAAAAGTCATCCTTAAGGCACCGGTTACCAATGGGGGATCAAGGGTTCATTGACTTTTTGACTCATCTACTAGAGATTAACCCGAAGAAGCGCCCCTCTGCCTCAGAGGCCCTAAAACATCCTTGGCTCTCCTATCCATATGAGCCGATATCATCTTAAGAAATGAGAAAGAGAACGTGCTTCTGTGGTGACTACAGAGGAAGGGATGCCCTCCAAATGTGTGTATAATATACCTTCCACATCACAGAGTATTGTAATGATGCATCCATTTGTAAACCTAGGTTTTCTTTTTTGTCCTTTTTCACTTTTGTGCTTGTACATGTGTGTTTTCAATTAGTCCTAGATGGGAGGAGGGAGTTGTTCATTATTTTTAGGTAGTGTTAGTGTATCCAATTTTTGTTGGCCTGACAACTAATCTGCTGAACTGTATCATTGTGATATGTATTAATCTCACTTTAAAATTCATCTCAAAATTGGTAACTAAGCAGAATTTCTTGCTGAAGCTGTTTTCTGTAATCTCATGCCAAGGGAAAAAAGCACTCCGTATATTTTGGATCTATATGGAACAGATACATCATTCATTCATTCGGCCGCAGCTGAAGCATTTCTGCATTTTTATTTCCTTGCAATAGCTTATATTTGTAAAAAACCGTTCATAGTTTTAGGACGGAGTATTTATAAATCATTGGAAAAACTTTCAAATAGATTTTGTACTTTCATGAAAATGTCAATTACTATCTATATTCTTATACTTTAATTAACATGCAAGCCACAAATTTTTGGCATTCAATGTGATAGAGATAGAGATTTGGTGTTTCACTAATTTTGGGGGTTTTTATGTTTTTTAAAAATGTACTCTGTATATTAGATCAAGATTAAGAGACTCATTGCAAGTGGTGAATAGTAAGATTTAGAATTCCTAAATGGTCCAAGTTTCACTCGAGAAGTTGAGAAGAAAGTTGGCCAAGTCTTTTATAGGTGGAGTTATTCTTATAGTGCATTAATATATGAACAATTTACCATTATATATGAACAATAGTGAATTATAGAAATATCAAATACCCACCCCATCAGTTATTTGGTGACGTGGTACACTGTATGCACATGGGCTGCCAAGTGTGTGCAAGTAAATTGCTGATTGAGCGATTAATTTGCTAATTAGCTCAATTGAACATCTTTCAAAATTCCTATATTCAATTGAGTTCTTTTAAATTATGATGGTGTAATTGACGTTTTCGTGATAGTACACGTACACATTTGATAATTTTTTCTAAATCATTCATACATTTTCATTTTCATACTAGTATACTTCGTATTATACTTCAAATACTATGTACTGGCATATCAATATTTTTGCTTAGGGTTGTACTTGTACATATCGGTTCGGTATAAATGAACTGTATCAAGTAGAACTAAATTGAATCGAAACTAAATCATATGCACTTTGATTTGATTTTGGTAGTATTTCTTCCCAATCATGTTAAAATGAATCAAATTGAAATCATGAAAAAATCAAATAAAATCGAATCGAACTAAAACTGTAAAAAAATATCGAATAAAATTGAATAAAAATCGTTCTTTCAATCTATAGTATTTGTATAACCGTTCTTTCAATCTATTTAAAGTGAGCCAGACCGAAAACGAATTAAAATCGAACCAAAGTTGATATGCGCGCCCCACATGTTACGTATTACCAAATGCCAATATCCACCATATTTGTACGTTGTATTATACTTCGTACGTAGTATAGTTTATAGGTAATTATGGCATGATACCTAATGCGTCGTTATTTAGCAAGGGATACCTAATGCGTCGTTATTTACCAAGGACTATGTTGAAAAGGCACTTTTTTGGATATTACGAGTACAAAATTTCAGCTTTATATCCTTCCTAGGGTTTACAAATTTGGTGTGAATGTAGTCCCTCATCTATGACGCATGCCTGGACTGGGATCGGTCCAATCTCTTAGAGGGCTGAATTTTTGCTAAACCCTAAAATTACCCATAAAATATCAGGTTATGAACATTACAGATCGGAACAAGGTTCACTATATTTGATCTGAGCTGGGTTTTTGATAGTTGGGTCCGATCCGGATTCAGGTTGGGCCGGTTAAAGCCCGAAAGAAAAATTATAATCTTATCCTTTTATATTTTAAAACTAATTTTCAAATAAAATTACTCAAAAATTCAAATTGTAAATAATAAGACAAATATTAATCTTCAAAATCACCAACACAAATTCAAACGGAAAATTTTATCTTAATTGTATGTTTAAGATATATAAAAATGTGACTAAAGTTACTAAGAATATACAAATTGAATATGATTATAGTGATTAAAAGTTCCTGAGACACTTTTTTGTCCAACATGCTAATTATAATACTCTATAATATATTAGGAATTAATTCTAAGTAATATTGGTATATTATACTTCCTCCGTTCTTTTTTAGTTGCAACGGTCAACATTTCACACTTGTCAATGCACGTCTTTGACCGTAATTATATCTTAATCTCTATTAGTAAAAAAATATTTTAAAATTAGATTTTAAAAATTTGTAATGAGATGAATTGAACAATATTTTTTAAAAAAAATAATTTTCATAAAATAATAATATAAAATGTAGTCAAAGTAGAACATGTGAATAGTGTAAAATTCAACATGTTGCGATTAATAAGAGACGGAGGATAGTATTGATTTAGTATTAAAGGTAATTCTTTTGGATTTTGACTAGTTTAGGCTGGGTTATAGATTTTAGGGACTGCTAGTGAACCCGACTTTTTGGGTTTGGGCTAGATTATTTTCCGGGTCATCCAAAAATAAGAAACCCAATCACATTTTTTATTCAGGCTAGGGTTGATTTTAGGTTTTCAGTTCAATTTTATCACCCCTACTTGTGCCAAGTATTTTTAAAATGTCATTTTGTACTTTGATTTTGCAACCTAGTGCCATTCTTACGTACAAATTTCCTTTCTTCCGTACAACCTAGTGCCATTCAAAAAAATATTGGTCGAGAGAATACTTAAACTAATCATCATAGTAGGTAACATTTGAGAATCCTGTAAAAGTACCCATGAATTCTAAATGACGATATTTAAATGAAGATATCATAGAAGCACTGGTTTTATATAATTAGTTTTTAGCATATTTGAATTCCGTTTAGCAATTTAATATCTTTTAGTATAACTTCTTAATTTGTTGATTTAATTATTCAGAATATATTATCTTGGGAGAATTAACTTTATCATCATTGACACATTTTGAACGAGGTCCTTGATAATATAATGCGACATAACATTATAATTGCTTATTCTCTTAAAACAATGTCCTCGGTGACACGAGATAAATATTTCTTATTTTTATATAATTGTTGCTATTTAATGTGACAAAGCCAGAAATATATGATTGGGAGAGGCATCGGGCAGGGTGGAGACAGGGAGGGGCTGGAGGTGGCCACGGTCCCTGCAAGAAAAAAAAATTCTTAAGTATATATTATGTATAAATACTTTTAATCTGTAGAAAGTATGTTGATATTTTAAATTTTGACCCCTGCAATATAAAATTCTTAAGGACCGGCCCCTTTAACCATAAATGTCTGGTTCCACCACTGGCATCGGGGTTTAGAATTTTATATCGAGTGAATCAAAGTTTAAAATTTTGACATTTATCTCATAAATTATACTCCCTCCGTCCCATAATTATCTTCATTCTTTCCTTTTTGGTCCGCCCCAAATTTATCTCCTCTTTCATTTTTTAGCAAAGGATTTGTGGTTCACAACCATTCTTACACATTTCTCTCTCATCTGCACAACTTTCCACCACACATTTACATTTCCAGTAAATGTTTATATAGGCATTTGGCAATCATTCTTTTGAGGCTTCACATCTCCACCACCTATGATGTGCAATATTTGATATGTATTACTATTGTGTACGCATCTACTGTTTCCCTTCCTTCAAACTTCAAAGAGGGGAACCATTTATTGAAATATTTGGGTGAAAGTGTAGAATACTTATTAGTGCTCCAAAATAACTTCCAAAAGCAATCATTTAGAAGCTGGTGGAGACTAACTTTAGAAAAACTGATTCTAATTATACTTATGTTTTTAAACAAGAAGAAAAAGAAGCAAAATCAATTTTAAACACCCGTATGCAATATCCTATTATGATGTTTTACTTTTATTGACATTATCATTTTAAATATTATACATTATTATCCTCTGATCCAAGGGGTCTCCATAATGAGCGATTGAAGGCTTTTGAAGTGTGAGATATACCCCCTCCATATTTTTTTGTTTGTTATACTTTCCTTTTTGGATGTATTCAAAATTTTGCTACACTTTCCGTTTTGACAATTTTTTCCTTTAAAAATACCTAACTACCCTTACTTTTTCTACTTTTTATCTTCTCATTCATACTTTTCCACCATCTTTCCTACTGTTTCTACACTATTCATTACCCCTACTATTTCACTCTTAAAAAATGTGTCAACACCTATCGTAGTAAACAAAAAAAATACGAAGGAAGTATCTAAGTTTTGTTCAATAAATGAGTACATGTAATTTTTAGCACAAAACAACTCAAGTTCATTTTGAAAAGGACCATAAAATTCATAGTGAGATACATTGTGGCCCTAAATCCGAAGGGCACTGCTAATTTGTAGGTTTGTAACAACTTTCAAAATCACTTTTAACTCTTGAATCTCATGAACCACCGGGCTGTCCATGTTGTTGGGTGTGTACTTGTTAAGATGATGCTAACAATGGCATGCCAATTATGTCATTAACTGGTGTCAAGCAAAACATCATTAATGATACTTTAATTTTCAACTTCAATCTATCTACCCAAAAGGTGGAATTGCCCACCGTACCCCAACCGTCCCCACACATCCTGACCCCAACAGAATGACAGATGAATGAATTACGATATGGTTTCAAATAGTTTCTGAATGGGGTTATTAAGGATCTGGTACGCTCAATGAGACACCATATTCGATAAAACTCACATACTGCCATGACCGCTAATTGAATATGAGACTTTAACCAACTGTGTCATTCAATCACCGAGCTACCCGTGCGGATAAAAATAACTTTTTAATTACATTCTTAATTATATCGTGTTAAATAATGATTCTCTATCATCTAATCCTTTTATTATTATTCCATTTCCATTTCACACATTGCTAAATTATTTCTAATGGAAGAATCAAGGGTTGATATTCTTTTCCCCTAGGTAGTAAAAAGTGGAAACAAAGGTTGGCTTTCAAGTCTGCGTTGGGAAGTGGGTAGATTCGATCTTACCAAGGGTGTGTGATATTAGCATTTAGCAAGTGAACGAATCTTAGAAGAATGTATACAGACGTATATGCAAGGTTGACCCAAGCCTGGCCGGAATAGAAGAAGGCCAAAATGGTCAACCTAAAAAAGAAAAGCTTACCATTACCAGGCCAGAAGGCCACCACGTTCCTCCTCCTCTCTCTAAAAAAAAGTACTCTTGAGAAGAGAGAGAGAGAGGGAGATAATCACTGTCATTAGCGTGTGGGGTGTTAAGGTCTTTAAGGTTATGTTTGCGCACGAAGTGTCTTGACTTCCCATCTCAGAGAATGGCAGTCCTGTTTTGGCGATGGAATCGATTGGGTACAATTTGGTTGCGGAGGTATTGAATTGAATTACCCCCATTTCTGAATTGCCATTTTCCAGTTTCCACTCATCAACTCTAAAAAGCTCTTATCTTTCCGCATTCTTGTAGATTCTTATTCTGTTTCCATATATTATTCTGGGTTAGTATCTTTCAGACTTTCACTGTCTTCTTTTTTAAAAAATCAATTCTTCCAAGTTGATGCTTTGCTTTCTAGGGTATCAAAAACAATTTGAGCTCTTGTGTTTTGGCCATTGGTTCCTTAAATTTTCTTTTGCTATTTTGTACAAGTAAATTTGGTAATGCATTCCAGTTCCCTGTGTTTTCCCTTTTTGTTTGTTTTTTGCCTTGTGGGATCTAACATCCAAGTATGTAAGCTCACCCTTCCTTCCTCACTCTGATTAGACATTTTGATGCTACCATGTTGCTGTAGGGTTAAGCTTTAGCTGTCTTGGATACTTGTTTAAACATGTCATCTTTTAGAACTATTGTTCTAATCTCTGCTTCACTATTTTTTCTTATATCACCTTGCTAATTTTCAGGTTCAGTGAAATATTGGTAGTGCTAGGGTTTTAGGGGGCCTTACAAGTTTGTTTGCGCCAATGGGAGACTTGAGTTCAGTAGACACAATTCTAGATTTTTTAAGAAGGAACAATTTTACTAAGGCCGAGGCTGCATTGCGTGATGAACTGACTAACCAGCCTGATACAGATGGAGTACTTCAAAAGCACACTCTAGAGCACAAGGTGCTGAACGGACATTTGGACGAATCCAATGGACGGAAAACCTCTAGAGAGAATCTGGGGATGGATTATCACAATAAAGGGGAGTCTGGAAGAGACATGGGTTTCAGGTGCAGCACTGATGTCTCAAAGGAGTTCATAGTTAGTGAGATAGAGTATGGGTCCTGGAGGAATGGGCCAGGTTGCAAGTGGAAGAATGTTGCTAATTCAGGGGAGCAAGGCAAAGTTAGTGAGTCAGTTAGTACAAGTGAAAACAATTTCAAATCTAATGGTTCAAAAGAGATTGCATTTGATTTGTACCCGCTGAATTACAATCCTAATAATGGACCTGTTGTTTCTCATCAAAATGATTGTGGAAGTGCTGATATGGAGCCAGTTATTGGAAAGGAATTGCCTAATCCAAGCGAGTCACACAATGAGCTGAGAAAATCATCTCTAGGAAGTTCTAACAAAACCATTATGGAAAGAAAGCAGGAGAAAATTCAAAAGCAAAGTGGGTCTTGCCCACAAGATGCATTTTCTGATAAATCATGGAATGACTGTGCCCCGGAAACTAATTTTCCATTCTCTAAGGAAGATGCATCAATGTGGTATGATCATAAAACTGTTATTGGTGATAAAATAGAAGAGAAAGGAAAGCCTGAGATGCTTGACATTAAGACAGCTACAGAGGAGCAAGTGGATGAAATTGGAAAAAGATTGTACTTTGCAAGAGCATGTGGAAGCAGGCCAAAGGATCTTAGTGGCTTTGATTTTGGACTTGCATCAGAGAGCCAAAAAGAAGAGCTACCTATTTTGCCGCCTGTTAGACTCAAATCAGAAGAGAAGTCATTTAATATTCTTTGGGAAGAAAAGTGTGAGCGAGATGGAAATGACTCGAGTATATTAGATACTGATAAAACTTATCTTACGGGATCATTTCTGGATGTTGCTGTAGGTCAACAAACCAACCCTTCAGGTTTGCTCCTATAATTTCTAACTTCGACTCATTTTTTTTGTTTTAGTAGGCTGTGAATGGGAAAATATGCCACATCCCTATGTTTTATAATCCATGGAGTTATTATTTTTCTTGCCGAGTGGTTTAGAGTGTGACCTGTTGGAGTTTAAAGGCTAGTCCATGGTTATTTATAACTTTGGCTCTTACTTTCTCAGTGGATGTGATGTGTATTTGGCCTAGCATTTATATCTGTAATCCATGCTACTTTATTTTCGGTCAATCCCCCTTGTCACTCATTTGGAATTTTGTGCAGCTATTTTCCTTATTTATCAGTGATAAGGCTGATTGACCCTGAGGAAGCGGTCAGCTCAACTGACAGCTGACTCACTCTCCCATATGGTAGGTCTCAGGTTCGAAACTCCATGGAGGGAGTTTCAGCCCTGTTTACCCAAGCCCCCCCCCCCCCCCCCCCCCTCATAGGAATCTCTGGTAAACTGAATTTGGATCATCAAACATTGTCAGATTTCGTGATAGTAACTAATAATTAACACACTCAAATTAAACTTTGATAGGCATGTGACTTTAGATAGTGGGTTTTACTGAAGAATATTGAGATAAGACAATGATATACAATTGAAACATTGCTGATTTTCTTGCTACAAAGAAGCTTCAAGGTTCTAGGCTTTTGAACGGTATTAGTTTGATAATTAACTCCTGACTTTCGATAAGTGAATATAGGTTACAGACGTATGAGTGTCTCCTCTTTTGTTTTTATAATGTGGGTGCCTGGGGGTCTGGGACTAATTTGACCTGAATAATCCCATGGGACCTCAAGTTAATGACTGGGTAAAACCTCGAGTGACTCTATGGTAATTGAACTAGCAACCTCAGATAACTTTTTATTCCTGGTTTAAAACCAGTTGAACGACCGAGAAAGGTTGTATTTCCCCCTTTCTATATATTATGGGTTTGTTTCATGTTAATTTGTTAATACTTAATATGTTGATCACGCCATTCTAATTATGTGCAGGTGTTAAAGGGCATTTTGGAAGAGGTAGTTTGCTCTCTGCGAGTCAAGTAATTGCTGAGGACACTTCTGACCTTGCTTCTGGTTTTGCAAGTATTGGTGGACTTAGTGAACAAGGTTACTATCCAAATGAGTATTGGGATTCTGATGAGTATGATGATGATGATGATGTAGGTTACACTCGACAACCTATTGAAGATGAGGACTGGTTTTTGGCCCATGAAATTGATTATCCAATTGACCCTAAGAACAAAACAGGAGATGAGGATGTTCCTGATCCTCAAAGAAGTCAAAACAGAGAAGAAGATGAACAATCATTTGCAGAAGAAGAAGACTCTGACTTCTTGCGCGAGCAGTATGTCAAATCAAGAGCTGTTGATGGAATTGGGCATGGAGATGATCTCACAGAGCTGGTAGTCACAGAAAAATACTGGAGAGGTACTGATGAGTTCACTGCTGAATGTGATGGCCATTTGATAGACGAGTATGAACCAAATCTGGTCCGTGCAGAGCCTGTGTGGCAAGGGTTTGTCACACAGACAAATGAACTTCTCATGCTAGGGGATGAAAAGTTCCTAAGTGAATGTGTGAAACCTCATCTAAATGAGGTTTGCATGGATGATAATCACCATGAGTCAGTTAGGTCCATTGGTGTTGGAGTTAGCAAAGATGCTGCTTGTGTTGCTAATGAAGTTCGGCAAAGCCAGGTTGGACTGAGTGTTGATGGGGACATTCAATACGTCAGTGATAGTTATGTCAGTGTTGGTGGGTCCAGACAAGTATGGGATGCCTCGAGCAAGACTTCTTCGAAGAGATCAAAGAATCATCTAGATGGGAGTTTACCATTTCCTCCACCTAGAGATGGACAACTAATTCAAAGTGACTGTGGAAAATCAGCAGCAGCTGATGACAGTGATGATTACTTGGCGAATGATGACATACTCATCCCAAAGAGTGGTGAGTCATCACCTGTGTATAACTCAAGATACAAAAATGATGCAAATGTTACTAGATCAGCAAGTTCTAGTTCTTCATCTCTTTCAAATGATGGTTATATGGAATATGACATTGCGAAGAAAGAACATGATGCAGAAGTAAATGCAAGAGAAGAAGATCAGGGAGCATCATTGGAAGATGAAGAGGTAGTTGCAGTTCAGGAACAAGTGAAACAGATAAAGGCACAGGAGGAAGAATTTGAAACCTTTAATCTCAAAATTGTGCACAGGAAAAACAGGTGTTTGCTTTTTCCTATTTGTTATTTCAATCGCTGATTTCTTTTTTATTTCTGGTATTACTTTGTATTTTTTGAATTAATGATATTATGATTGTAAAATATAAGATTGTATTCAATATACTTCATATGAAATCCTATACAAGAAGCTATATTTATAGCTATATTTAGAGTCCTAGGGTTTCCTATACAAGATATACAAAATGGGCTAAGCCCAATACTACTAGGGTTTCCACACTCCCCCTCAAGCTGGAGCATATAAATCATATGTACCAAGCTTGTTACAAATATATTCCACTCTAGGACCTCTAAGAGACTTAGTTAAAATATCTGCAAGTTGTCCAGTTGTGTTCACATATTTTGTGATGATATGTCCACTGGTGATCTTCTCTCGGATAAAATGACAATCAACTTCAATATGTTTTGTCCTCTCATGATATACCGGATTTGATGCGATGTGCATTGCAGCTTGATTATCACACATGAGTTGAGCTGGTTTTGTGTTTCCATATTTTAACTCTTGGAGGAGATGCTTCAACCATAAGATTTCACAGGTAACAAGGGCCATTGCACGATATTCTGCTTCAGCACTAGATCTGGCAACCACATCTTGTTTCTTACTTTTCCATGAAATTAAGTTTCCACCAATCAAGATGCAATATCCCGAAGTGGAACGTCTATCCATCGGACATCCGGCCCAGTCTGCATCACAGTATCCCACAATATCACGGTGGCCTCGATCTTCAAACAACAATCCTTGTCCTGGAGTTTTCTTGATGTATCTCAAAACTCGAATAGCTGCATCCCAATGTCCAGTACATGGCTTATCAAGAAACTGGCTAAGAACACTTACCGCAAATGAAATATCTGGTCTCGTGATGGTAAGATAATTCAATTTTCCGATGAGTCTTCTATATTTTTCCTTGTTGGGCAAAAGATCTCCCTGTTCTGATACGAGTTTAACGTTCGGATCCATTGGTGTATCCACTGGCCTGCAATCTAGCAAACCTGTTTCCTCAAGAATATCCAAGGCATACTTTCTTTGTGAGAGAGCAATTCCATCTTGAGACTGTGCAACCTCAATGCCAAGGAAGTATCTCAACTTTCCCAAGTCTTTTGTTTGAAATTTGCTAAACAGATGTTGCTTGAGGAGAGCAATTCCTTGATCATCGCTACCTGTAATGACAATGTCATCAACATACACAACAAGATAAATACATTTGTTGCCAGCAGAATGTCTGTAGAATATAGAATGATCAACATCACTGCGAATCATGCCAAAGCTGCAAACAACGGCACTGAACCTCCCAAACCATGCACGTGGAGATTGCTTCAAGCCATATAATGAACGACGTAATCTGCACACCATACCAGACTCCCCCTGAGCAACAAATCCAGGTGGTTGCTCCATATAAACTTCCTCGTGCAGATCTCCGTGAAGGAATGCGTTTTTAATATCCAATTGGAACAATGGCCAGCGGCTCATTGCTGCCATGGATAAAACCAAACGAACTGATGCAATCTTCGCTACAGGAGAAAAAGTGTCAGTGTAATCCAAGCCATATATCTGAGTATACCCTTTCGCCACAAGGCGTGCTTTAAAACGATCAATCTCCCCATCAGGCCCAACCTTAACCGTGTAAATCCACCGACATCCCACCACTGATTTGCCAGTGGGAAGGGGGACTAAGTCCCATGTCCCACTAGAATGAAGAGCCTCCATCTCAGCCAACATGGCTTTACGCCACTCTGGGTGTGTCAGTGCCTCATGTGTGGTTTTAGGAATGCATATATGAGATAGGTGGGAAATAAAGGCATAGTAAGGGGTAGAGAGGCGGTGATAACTCAAAAAGTTATATATGGGATGTGGATTCAATGTGGAACGCGTACCTTTTCGGAGAGCAATTGGCAAATTATCCTGAGTGGTGTCAAGTGCTGGAGTAGGTGATGGTGGTGATGCAGGATCCGTCATAGGGGAATCAACGGGCGTGGCCATGATGGGCTCAATGGGAGGAGGTCGAGGACGTCGATGGTATACCTGTAATGGACGATCTGACATAGGAGGGCAGTTTGGGTGCTCATCAGATGGGGGGTTAATGGGAGGCTCCTGATGGATGGGCCGAAGATATGAGGTGAAGTCCAAACATGATGGGGTATTAACTGAAGATAATGGATAATAAAAGGACGACTCAATGAAAGTGACATCAGCTGAAATAAAATGTTTCTTAAGTAATGGAGAATAACAACGATACCCCTTTTGGAGTCGTGAATATCCAAGAAAGATACATTTTATTGACCTAGCCGCCATTTTAGCTAATCCCGGTGTCGTATCATGGACAAAACACACACACCCAAACACATGAGGTGGTAATGGAAATAAATCACGAGCAGGAAACAAAATAGAATAAGGAATTTCATTATTAAGAACTGAGGAAGGCATTCTATTTATTAAATGACACGCAGTGAGTACAGCATCTGCCCAATACTGAGGTGGTGTATGGGAATGTAATAATAGGGTACGAGCAGTATCAACCAAGTGCCGGTTCTTGCGTTCAGCAACCCCATTTTGTTGAGGCGTGTGAACACAAGAAGATTGGTGAAGCATACCCCGTGATGTCATGAATTGATTAAAGGATGCCCCAAAAAATTCTTTAGCATTGTCACTGCGTAAAATTTTGATAGAATGACCAAACTGAGTTTGAATTTCAGCACAAAAAGTTTGAAAAATATGAAACAATTCAAAACGCTCTTTCATTAAAAACAACCATGTGTAACGGGAAAAATCATCCACAAAAATAACAAAATAACGGAAACCTAAAGTAGAAGTGACTCGATACGGACCCCATACATCTGTATGAACTAAATCAAACGGTGATGTAGCCCGGTTATTGACTCTCCTTGGAAAGGATTTACGAGGTTGTTTTCCAAGGTGACATGACTCACATTCTAAAGATGAAAGATTGGAGAAACCTGGAACCATACGTTGAAACTTTGAGAGACTAGGATGACCCAGACGATTATGTAAGGTAATAGCAGGTTCAACTGAAACACAAGCGATTGGATCAAGAGGATGGAGGTGATACAGACCTTGAGATTCATGGCCGACGCCAATTGTTTTCCCCGTACAACGGTCCTGCACAATCACAGAATCAGCAGAAAATGTTACGGAACAATTAAGAGCACGTGTAATTTTACTGACAGAGACAAGGTTAAAAGGGGTGTTTGGGACATATAAGACTGAGTCTAATGGTAAGGATGAAAGTGGAAGCGCTTGCCCAATACCCGAAGCCGAAGTTTGAAGGCCATTAGCAAGAGTAATCAAAGGAAGATGTCGGTGCTTGGTAATATGGGATAAAAGATTGGGATTACCAGAAATATGGTCCGAGGCACCTGAGTCAATTATCCATGAGCCTGCTGTGTTTGAAACGCAAGCGGTAGACATCCCCGTTGTAGATAATGGCATAGTAGTCAACTTAAATTGCTGATATGCTGCATATTCTTCTGGAGACAGAACAATGGGAGATGGTGGGATCTGAGCAACGGTGACTGGGGTAGGAGGTCTCCCATGTAATTTCCAACACCTGTCTTTAGTATGACCAATTTTATGACAAAAATCACATTTAGGACGGTTCCGTCTTGAGAATCCGGTGTTGTTTCCTCCGTCAGAATTCATAAAAGACAGCTTGTTTTTTTTCCTTTTTTCTTTTTTTTTCTGTTTTTTTTTTTTTTTCTTTTCTGTCTTTTTTTTTTTTTTTGTTTTTTTTGTTTTGTTTTTTTTTTTTTTTTTTTTTTTTTTTTTTGTTTTTTTTTTTTTTTTTTTTAAAGAGCAGCAAAAAATAAAATATTTAAAGTAGTGCAACTGCAATTGAAGTGAAGCAGCCGTAAGGTTGAAGGCATCAGGTTGAAGCACTGTAGCTACACAAGGATGAAGGAAAACAGACCTCTATCATCTTTGGGAGGTGCGGACGACGGCGAAGGGAGACTGCAGGGCGGCGGCGGCGAGCGTACGACGCAGGGAGACGGCGGTCGGCGGCGAGCGTACGATGCAGGGAGACGGCGGTCGACGGCGGCGGCGCGGTCGACGGCGGCGGCGCGTTTGACGGTGGCGGCGCGTGAAGCGGTCGACGGCGGCGAGTTTTACGTCGTTCTGGTCGCCGGAAACTCAGGATCTTCCGCTGGTTGGAGGTGTCAACGCCAGATAAGCAGAAAGAGAGAGATCTGCAAAAATGAAAAACTGCAGAAGTATGCTTCAGCGGCACGCGGTGGCGCGTGGATGATGCGGCGCAGGTGATTCCTCCGGCGGTAAGTCACGATGTACCTTTGAGCACGGCGGTAGGTTGATATCACTACCGAAAGCACTCAATTGAAAGTGACGACACTGTTCACGCCGGAATTCTGACCGGAAATTACACCAGCAGAAAAAAAAATCATAAACACTACACTAATATTGCCACACTGGCTCTGATACCATGTAAAATATAAGATTGTATTCAATATACTTCATATGAAATCCTATACAAGAAGCTATATTTATAGCTATATTTAGAGTCCTAGGGTTTCCTATACAAGATATACAAAATGGGCTAAGCCCAATACTACTAGGGTTTCCACAATGATAATATATTTAATTCTCTATGCATCAATATTGACTGTTGTGTAGTGTGCTACTTTTCAAACTACAATAAATAATGAGACAAAAACTCATTTGCAACTCAGTATACCATATTGATAATGATGGATTTACGGCATTGCTCCTATATCTTATTTTTAATGCTATATTTAGCAAACTGTTTTCTTCTTATTAGTGTTCTGCCCCAGCATGATGATTTCTTGTATTGGTTCTTATTCATGAAAGTAATCTCCATTGTAGCACCATAGTGACTTGAAGTATTTAGCTTGTTTGTGTAAGGTTAAAGGATATTCTGGAAACACAAATGTTAAATATGTGACCTTAAAAACCTGGAACATGATATGTGCAATAGAAATAGCTGGCTTATGCGATCCCCTATATGGACTTATGTAATTAACTGGCTTGCCGTTGAGGTGGAGAACATAAGCCTGAAGTGTAAACATCTTTCTTATATCTCTGTTTGTTTGTTTGGCACTTCGACATAGAGAAAGTGTCAATGTGCGAAGCTATACTGTTGTTTGATTTTGTCTTTTCATATCTGAAAACTTGACTTTGGTAATATGACAATGTATTATCTTCCCACGTTAGTTTTCTATGATTGTTATTTTACCATCCAAAAGAATGATACTTGTTGGTTTTCTGAATTTCTCCATTGGGACTTTTTTTTACATGATTTCTAAATTATAGCTAAGACTACGTGAGCTATCTAGAAGGAATAAGTTATTCGAAATACCTGTTTTGTTAACTAGAACTCAATTTTCTTCTCAGAACTGGTTTCGAGGAGGACAAAAATTTCGAAGTTGTTATAAATTCAGTAATAGCTGGGCGCTATCATGTCACTGAGTATCTTGGGTCTGCTGCATTCAGTAAAGCCATTCAAGCACATGACCTTCATACTGGCATGGATGTATGTGTTAAGGTTATAAAGAACAACAAAGATTTCTTTGATCAGAGTCTTGATGAGATAAAACTTCTCAAGTTTGTCAACAAGAATGACCCTGGTGATAAGTACCATGTGCTTCGGCTTTATGATTACTTCTATTATAGAGTAAGTGAACACACTTCGCCTTTGATGGCTATGAAGAGAGCTTTTCCTTTCCTATTTTTCTCCCTCCCAAACATTGCATATGACTATATTCCCATCCGTTGTTTTATTGCGCTCACTTCTGTCCCATATTGCATATGTGGCTTTTATCCTGCCTTTCTGAGCTCTTACAACTGTGTTTAGTTTGGAGGATTGTCTGAGTTAGTTTACTTGATAATAACATTATTGCTAGCCTATTCCTTATGTTTGTAAGATCTACCAGCAACTTTTGTGTAAAAATTTGAGGCATCAGTTTTCCGTATTCATCACCTTTGATGAACTATTGAATTGTTTAAAAAATTCTTTTAGCGAAAATCTTTTTTGGTTCATATAACGCTTCAATGGAAACCTTTATTCTGTAGATTCACATGTTTAACCTAAAGCGCTTGAAGTGAATATAATCAGAACAAAGTCTTTATAATGACTATTATGTTTATTTTCAGGAGCATCTGTTGATTGTGTGTGAACTCCTGAAAGCCAATCTATACGAATTCCATAAATTTAATAGAGAATCTGGAGGGGAAGTCTACTTTACTATGCCAAGACTGCAGGTTTGCTCCATAGCGATCACGTTATGGATGATGCAGTTATTTTTTATCTGACTGGCTTATTAATGTCATTTGTAGTCAATTACAACTCAGTGCTTGGAGGCACTTCAGTTCCTGCACAGTCTTGGGCTTATACACTGTGATTTGAAACCTGAGAACATTTTGGTGAAAAGCTATAGTAGGTGTGAGGTGAAGGTGATTGATCTTGGTAGCAGTTGCTTTGAAACGGACCATCTATGTTCATATGTTCAATCTAGATCATACCGTGCACCTGAAGTGATTTTGGGGCTTCCATACAATAAAAAGATTGATATCTGGTCACTTGGCTGCATATTGGCAGAACTTTGTACTGGCAATGTAAGTTCCTCAGGGTTGAAGATAGGAGCATGTAACTCTGTACTTAATTTAAGAGCAGTTGCTCTTATGAAACAAGTTTACGTCATACCCTTGTCCCAATTTAATTGAATTCTATAATAGTGTACACATATTAAGAAATATGTTACATATACATAATGACAGTTTTATTCCTATACAAATTCAACATTAAATACTTCTGAAGTTCTTATGCTTTCAAGGCAAAACAAAATGTAATTTTGAAAATTTGGAATATTAAAAAATATGCTATGAATTCCTAAAAAGATAATTACTTTGGGATAAAAAATATTTGCTAAAAAGAAGAATAATTTGGGACCAAGGGAGTATGATTTAAGGAATATATACTTGATGCGTATTTTTTGGTTCTGGAAAGATGATATGTTTTTGTTGGGATCCTAGAGCAGAAGGTGAAACTGTTTTTCATATGTGCAGGTCCTTTTCCAAAACGACTCACCAGCCACTTTGCTTGCTCGAGTGTTGGGTATTTTAGGTCCTATGGACCAAGAGATGCTTGCCAAAGGAAAAGACACTTATAAGTATTTCACCAAAAATCACATGTTGTATGAAAAAAATCAGGTGAAGTATTCAATCTCTATGCAGTGGTCTAATTTTAGTGCTCTGGCTTGTTGTCATTGACTCATTGTCTTAGCGGTATTTAATTGTTGCTTAAAATTTCTTCTGGTCATGAATAACTATTTGAATCAGTGAAACGTGCATATATTGGATATAATAATATTGCGCACCACCTCACACACCGCGTATGTTTTACTTTCATCAGGAAACCAACAAAATGGAGTACCTAATTCCCAAGAAAACAGCGTTGCGGCATCGATTACCGGTCGAGGATCAAGGCTTCATTGACTTCTTGACTCACCTGTTGGAAATAAACCCAGAGAAACGTCCCTCCGCTGCAGAGGCTCTAAAGCACCCTTGGCTCTCATATCCTTACGAACCCATCTCATCGTAGGGTGGAAGGGATTTTATTTCTTGCAACACCATTAGAGAGAATGTATGTACCTCTAGCTTCTATAGGGTGTGTGCTATGATAATATTGTTTGTACATGATGTGTGTGATACGGAGTATTGTTTCTAGGTCGTAGTTTTTCTTATAGCGACCACGTGCCCCAATTTTGATATTTAAAAAAGAAGAAAAACTAGTTCAGAGTGTACGTAATGAAGCAAGCTCATCTAAATTGTACTGTATGTATTTACACTATCACCATCTTTTGTACCTTTTTCACATTAAAAGTGTTTTGGCCTTTTGGGAGGATTAGCTTACTCCTTCGTCCCTCACTTCCTCCCGAAAATGTCATGTTTCAGTGTTGCAATATTTTAGTTTTGATATTTAAAAAATCTTGATAGTAACTGAGGGATTGCATCCCTCAGGTAAAAAAAAAATCACATGAGATGCAATCATGTGAAATTTGGGAAAATTGTTAAATAGGTCCTCGAACTTTCAAAAAAAAAGTCAAAGAAGTCCTTATATAGGATGCTCTGTCCGGCTGTTGCGTTTTGGGGCAGTTCTCAGTGGAATTTTTTGATGAAATTTTTTGAGCATCTTATTCATCAAGTCTAGTTTACTCATACCAAATTTCAGCTAAAAATTCAATCGGGAATGCATTCAAATTAATTCTTGAAGAAAATTGTGCAGTTAAATGAACAGTTATCTCCAAGAATTAATTTGATTGTGTTACCGATTGCAGTTTTAGCTGAAATTTGGTATGAGTAAACTAGACTTGATGAATAAGATGCTCAAATTTTTTTTAAAAGAAAATTCACCGGGAACTGCCCCAAATCGCGATGGCCGGACATAGTCTCCTATATAAGGACTTATTTGACTTTTTAATGAAAGTTTGAGGACCTATTTGACAGTTTTCCCTGAGAAATTTTGTTATACCCTGCATTTGGGGTGTGAAGTCAAATATTGAGGTGACTCTGAGATGCAAAAAACGAAGTTTTTGTCTTTTGAAAAAAGAACATGAAAACAGATGGAAACATGAGCTACTTGTCAAGATTGGAACAAAAAGAAAGAGAAAATTGTGTCCGATGACATATAGGGGAGAGTTCTGATGAGAACTTTCATATAATGATAACTTTTTATAATGAGAAATTGCAAAATGCCTTAATTTACAATAAATAAATAATTGA